CCCGGGCGCCGCAGCAAAAAATGGCTGCCCACTGCTCCGGGTGTGTGTTGTTCACTGCTGTGTGTGTGTGTGCGCACTTTGGATGGGATAAATGCAGAGCACTAATTCCTAGTATGGGTCACCATACTTGGCCACATGTCACTTCACTTTCTTTTAGTGGTTGTAAGCCAAAATCGTTACAGTACATGTTTGTAGGAATGTCAGCACTGAAAACACAGGGCAGTGAACTGGATTTTTACTGCACTCTACACTCAAGATTTGAACAGCCAATGCATGAAACTATATAGACATTGTCAGGTTTTTGCAGACAGAACCCATACGCAGAACAGCCAGGGAGATTTCGAAAAGTCTTTAATATCAAAATTAAATATCAACACAAAACCTGGGCAAAAACAAGCCCAAACAACAGCCAACAGGGCTGGAAAACAAGAGACCCATGATAGGGCAAAAACTAGAACAACAAGAAAACTAGCAAACAAAACAAGATAAAAAACTAACAAGACACTTGACTTGACCAGCAACTTCACTTGACCGACTAGGAGTAACAGGGAACACAAAATGAACCAGCACCGCACAGATAACAGAGGGAGAATAAATAGGGAACCAAACCAGGCAGAAAATGAGGAAGGACAGGTGGGGCCAATGTGGGGCCAATGAACTGATAATCAGGTAACAACAGGGGTGGGGTTAGACAATAGACATGAGAGCACATGGCACACGGAAACAAACAAGAAAGCCATGTGCTCACACAAAATAAAAACACAAGCACATGGCCAGCAAAACAAATCACCAGCCATGTGCAAGACAAGACCCGAACACGCAGCTGATGAGAACTCATAAGCCGTGTGTTCACACAAAACATGACATGAAAGCACACAGCCCGTGAAAACACAAGCTGTGTGCTACACAGCACGAGACAAAACATAACATGAAAGCACGCGGCCAATCACAAATTGGATGATGGACCATCACCTTCAACTCAACCTGGCTGAGACAGAACTGCTTGTGGTTTCAACAAACCCATCACTTTATCAAAATTTCACCATCTCAATCCGAGCAGTCCTTAACCATCTTCAAGAAACGACTAAAAACACAAATCACAAATGGCATGACTTAATACAGGCACAGGACTGGCTGTAATTTATGTGAAAGGTTTAAAGCATTAACTTGTTCACATTCCTTCTGAAGCCCATTGAGGTAGAGGCCTCAGTTTCTGGTGCAGGTTGTGAAAAATCCTACAATACACTGCAAAAAATGGCTTATCTTACTTAGTATTTTTGTCTTGTTTCTAGTCAAAATATCTAAAAATTCTTAAATCAAGATACTTTTACTAGATAAGCCAATTGACTTAAGATATTTAGTCTTGGTTTCCAGGGGGGGGGAATCTAAATTAAGTGCATTTTACATAAAACAAGTAAAATTATCTGCCAGTGGGGTAAGTAAAATATTCTTAAAACAAGAGTATTTTACTTACCCCACTGGCAGATAATTTTACTTGTTTTAAGAAAAATGCGCTCAATTTAGTTTTTCCCCCTGGAAACAAGACTAAATATCTTAAGTCAGTGTTTTTTGCAGTGCATTCAGTTTGGAGCGACATCTTGATCCAGGGAGGGTCTGTGTTTGACCAAATACCTTCCACTTCTAAATAATAGACTAAGACAAAAATACTAAGTAAGATAAGCCATTTTTTGCAGTGTAAGAGATAAGGGCCAGTCACATTTGTGTGACATTCAAATGTGTGCCATAAAAAAAAATAAATAAAAAAAAAAAGTCAAATGCATTCACCTCAGCAACGGTTTCAGAACACACAGAGAGGGTGTCTTCGTCATTTGCTTCGCCCTAAGAAATAAAAGTAGGCAAATGTAAACCATAACTGTTGTAAAGCATATTCATTGTGTTCTGTCTGCTGCATGCTCACCTCTGTGTGGGAGACTGTGTGAACGTGTGCCGGCTTCAACAGGGACACTGTGTTTCCCTCTACTGCAGAACATACAGTCAGCCACATGTAAAACTTTTAAAAGGTAGTAATGCATTGCACACATACCCAGTGTCACTTGCTTAGAGGAGCCAGCACCAGGGTCAGATTGTACAGCACCTGTAATCCCATCCATAATCGGCCACCCCTTATTGCTACTCAGAGCCAACTTCTCTGCCACAGTGTATTTTCAGAACGTCACACTTTTTTCTGTTTGCTGCAAAAAAAGGTTGTGAAAATGTTCACGAAAATAATAAAAGGTTATAAATACTCACCACTTTGAATTATATTTTTATATTTTGTCTTTATCTGCTGCCAAGAACGTTTGTAGTTGGGGTTGCATCTAAAAATCAATGAATATTAATCTTTGATGTAATATACATTCACATTTTTATATACAAATACATTTATAGATACATATAGTATATATATGTACATTTTAATTTCAGCATTTAATACACTTTTAAAATAAAACTGTAACTGTTAACATTACGTCTAATGCACAGTGAAGTAACACGAGTAACTTGAACAACTCTATCGGAATTAACATTAGATTAATAAATGCTGAAAAACTATTGTTCATTGTTAATTCATGTTAGCTAATGCATTAAGTTCTCTAAACAAATACAACCTTATTGTAAAGGGTTACCATCATATACACGAGCACACTTTTAATTAATAGCCTATTGAATGTATTTGTTTAACTTACGCATTAACGCAATCAGCGATCTTTCTCCAACACTCTTCTCGTGCTTTGGCAGCAGAGACAGTATTACTGCATGCTTGAAAGACGTGTTTATATTCCTTGTATTTTTGAATAATTATTTCTTGCTCCTCCGCGGGAAAAATACGGCTCTCGCTCTATCCATATTGTACGCGATTGGTTGTTCGGTGCCGACGTCATTCTTTTATGTGCACGCGCCCGTGGAGTAATCATAGCTTAAGGATCAAAGCCCGAGTTGACAGAGAAAGTTGATCATCTGCATCATGGTACCAATTAAGCCTGATTGCATCGGTTTGGTTTTGTCAACTCAAAACTAATCCTATAACACGGAGTTTGTTCAGCCACCATCATGGTACAGGCCCCAGGTTAGGTTCATGGAGTAAGTTACCATGGGAACTAACTCCGAGTATAAGTTACCTGTCTTTCAGAAACGGGCTTTGTAGAAAATTGGAAGGAATTTTAGGCTGGTTGGGCTATTGCTACCGGAATGGTGAGTCCATTAAAACTCATTCAGTCATCATCTCATTTTCCAGTTTATTTTTCTCATATAGGAGTAGACATTTCCCAAGGTAACAAGTGCTGGTAATTGTTGGTTTATGGCATACTATAAACAAATAGGAAATCAATATATACAAACACATTAGCACAAATTATACATGAAGTCTAAATCAACTTTAACAAATCCAATAAAGATCAAAGAAAGTAAATACACTTCAGTATAAACAAATCACATTATACATAAAAATAAACTTTAGTCAACAACACAACAATTCCACACAGGCCATGTTTGCATGGAGAGATGGCTTCTCACACACAAATGCATTGAGATTAAGGCTTAATTAGTAAGAGGCCACAGGTGTTCTTATCAGAACTGTCAACCAATCAGAACGCAGCATAATTTTATACAGCTGCCCCCAAATATGTTAACATTTGCATACAAGAAAATTCATAATACCAATTAATGTTATAACAATGTACAGGTTACATGTTTCCATTCATGAAAACCACAGCCATTTAAACCCATTGGAATTTAACAGATTGTTACTGAATCCCTCTTAACCATGAAACCAGTAACCACAAAAGTTCACACAATTTCCCAACTCTAACAATTGTAAAGTCAAGATTTGTATGTGAGGACCTGTATAAAATGCTACATATTTTAACGTTACATTAAATGGAGATAAATCATTATGAAATACATGTAAATGTGGAAACCATGACTCTGGGGAAACTCTAGACAAACAGAACCATCCAATGCTGCCCCAACAGGATACTAGATAAAGAACAAGGCTTCAACAGAACAGTTGCAGATGACAGTATACAGGCCATAACAGAACTCCTGAAAAAGGTGGAGGCCATGGTTCTGGCAGGGTTATAGACGAAAGAAGAATCCCAGAAGTAATAAGCAAGGCAATAGGCAAAGGCTGAGCAGGCTTTGGGAGTCTGAGAGGAAAGACGTACATCAGCTTGCAATAACTTCTCCACATCCTCATGCAATTGATCCATGGAGTGGGAATCTTGAAAAATAAGCACTGTGTCGTGGAGTTAGTCTTCTCACCACAAAGAAGTATGTCCCTGCAGTGTCCACAGCAGTCAAGTATTCAAAGCAGCTGGACTTCCAGGACCTAAGAAATAAAAGTAGGCAAATGTAAACCATAACTGTTGTAAAGCATATTCATAGTGTTCTGTCTGCTGCATGCTCACCTCTGTGTGGGAGACTGTGTGAACGTGTGCCGGCTTCAACAGGGACACTGTGTTTCCCTCTACTGCAGAACATACAGTCAGCCACATGTAAAACTTTTAAAAGGTAGTAATGCATTGCACACATACCCAGTGTCACTTGCTTAGAGGAGCCAGCACCAGGGTCAGATTGTACAGCACCTGTAATCCCATCCATAATCGGCCACCCCTTATTGCTACTCAGAGCCAACTTCTCTGCCACAGTGTATTTTCAGAACGTCACACTTTTTTCTGTTTGCTGCAAAAAAAGGTTGTGAAAATGTTCACGAAAATAATAAAAGGTTATAAATACTCACCACTTTGAATTATATTTTTATATTTTGTCTTTATCTGCTGCCAAGAACGTTTGTAGTTGGGGTTGCATCTAAAAATCAATGAATATTAATCTTTGATGTAATATACATTCACATTTTTATATACAAATACATTTATAGATACATATAGTATATATATGTACATTTTAATTTCAGCATTTAATACACTTTTAAAATAAAACTGTAACTGTTAACATTACGTCTAATGCACAGTGAAGTAACACGAGTAACTTGAACAACTCTATCGGAATTAACATTAGATTAATAAATGCTGAAAAACTATTGTTCATTGTTAATTCATGTTAGCTAATGCATTAAGTTCTCTAAACAAATACAACCTTATTGTAAAGGGTTACCATCATATACACGAGCACACTTTTAATTAATAGCCTATTGAATGTATTTGTTTAACTTACGCATTAACGCAATCAGCGATCTTTCTCCAACACTCTTCTCGTGCTTTGGCAGCAGAGACAGTATTACTGCATGCTTGAAAGACGTGTTTATATTCCTTGTATTTTTGAATAATTATTTCTTGCTCCTCCGCGGGAAAAATACGGCTCTCGCTCTATCCATATTGTACGCGATTGGTTGTTCGGTGCCGACGTCATTCTTTTATGTGCACGCGCCCGTGGAGTAATCATAGCTTAAGGATCAAAGCCCGAGTTGACAGAGAAAGTTGATTATCTGCGTCATGGTACCAATTAAGCCTGATTGCATCAGTTTGGTTTTGTCAACTCAAAACTAATCCTATAACACGGAGTTTGTTCAGCCACCATCATGGTACAGGCCCCAGGTTAGGTTCATGGAGTAAGTTACCATGGGAACTAACTCCGAGTATAAGTTACCTGTCTTTCAGAAACGGGCTTTGTAGAAAATTGGAAGGAATTTTAGGCTGGTTGGGCTATTGCTACCGGAATGGTGAGTCCATTAAAACTCATTCAGTCATCAATCTCATGTTTCCATTTTATTTTCTTAACAGGTAGGAGTAGACATTTCCATGGTTACAAGTGCTGGCAATTGTTGGTTTATTGTCAACAACACAACAATTCCACAAAGGCCATGTATGAATAAAGAGACTGCTTCTCACACACAAACACGCTGGCTGCGTCCGAAACTGCCTACTTCTCTACTATATAGGCCTCCGCGGGAAAAATACGGCTCTCGCTCTATCCATATTGTACGCGATTGGTTGTTCGGTGCCGACGTCATTCTTTTATGTGCACGCGCCCGTGGAGTAATCATAGCTTAAGGATCAAAGCCCGAGTTGACAGAGAAAGTTGATTATCTGCGTCATGGTACCAATTAAGCCTGATTGCATCAGTTTGGTTTTGTCAACTCAAAACTAATCCTATAACACGGAGTTTGTTCAGCCACCATCATGGTACAGGCCCCAGGTTAGGTTCATGGAGTAAGTTACCATGGGAACTAACTCCGAGTATAAGTTACCTGTCTTTCAGAAACGGGCTTTGTAGAAAATTGGAAGGAATTTTAGGCTGGTTGGGCTATTGCTACCGGAATGGTGAGTCCATTAAAACTCATTCAGTCATCATCTCATTTTCCAGTTTATTTTTCTCATATAGGAGTAGACATTTCCCAAGGTAACAAGTGCTGGTAATTGTTGGTTTATGGCATACTATAAACAAATAGGAAATCAATATATACAAACACATTAGCACAAATTATACATGAAGTCTAAATCAACTTTAACAAATCCAATAAAGATCAAAGAAAGTAAATACACTTCAGTATAAACAAATCACATTATACATAAAAATAAACTTTAGTCAACAACACAACAATTCCACACAGGCCATGTTTGCATGGAGAGATGGCTTCTCACACACAAATGCATTGAGATTAAGGCTTAATTAGTAAGAGGCCACAGGTGTTCTTATCAGAACTGTCAACCAATCAGAACGCAGCATAATTTTATACAGCTGCCCCCAAATATGTTAACATTTGCATACAAGAAAATTCATAATACCAATTAATGTTATAACAATGTACAGGTTACATGTTTCCATTCATGAAAACCACAGCCATTTAAACCCATTGGAATTTAACAGATTGTTACTGAATCCCTCTTAACCATGAAACCAGTAACCACAAAAGTTCACACAATTTCCCAACTCTAACAATTGTAAAGTCAAGATTTGTATGTGAGGACCTGTATAAAATGCTACATATTTTAACGTTACATTAAATGGAGATAAATCATTATGAAATACATGTAAATGTGGAAACCATGACTCTGGGGAAACTCTAGACAAACAGAACCATCCAATGCTGCCCCAACAGGATACTAGATAAAGAACAAGGCTTCAACAGAACAGTTGCAGATGACAGTATACAGGCCATAACAGAACTCCTGAAAAAGGTGGAGGCCATGGTTCTGGCAGGGTTATAGACGAAAGAAGAATCCCAGAAGTAATAAGCAAGGCAATAGGCAAAGGCTGAGCAGGCTTTGGGAGTCTGAGAGGAAAGACGTACATCAGCTTGCAATAACTTCTCCACATCCTCATGCAATTGATCCATGGAGTGGGAATCTTGAAAAATAAGCACTGTGTCGTGGAGTTAGTCTTCTCACCACAAAGAAGTATGTCCCTGCAGTGTCCACAGCAGTCAAGTATTCAAAGCAGCTGGACTTCCAGGAGGACCGAAACGTACTCGCTTTTTGGAGCAAAGAAGGGGAGGATGATCAGCTCCCACTAGTAATATAGATTTAACCTTCTGAAACTCCTGCAGAGGAATGCCTCTTAAATGTTGATAGCGTTGCTGGAGGATCTGCACTGGATAAGTCTGTTCAGGTAAATCAAGCATTTGAGATAAATGCAGCCTCATATTTGATACTCTGCTTATGGAAAGCTGGCAAACTGGAAAAGGAAACCGTAGCACCTTCAATTTTCTCTGAGCCTAGTCGGATGGTTTGAAGGACCAATGATTCTGCCACCCCATGAAGACCTAAACTCTCTGCAGCAGAAGATATAAGCATGGTTCTTTCTGAACCATCATATTTAGATGATCTATGGGCCCAACCACATCTCCAACAACAATTGTCAGCAATACATTTCCGTTTGGCTACTGTATCAAAACTCTGGAATTCAGGACAATGACTAAGATGGTGATCATTACTACAACAGTATGCACAAGATGGTTTACGGCCCTCCTTCCTTTCCTGTGATGTGATAATTTCACTGTTAGTATTTTCAGTTTTCTTTCTCTGAGTGGGTAGATTCACTTCTGGACTCATCCCATGAAGGACTTGACTTACCCAGCATTCTCGGGTTTGACAAAGCTTCCATTCTGAAATGGAAAACCCAGAGTTTCCCTTATTTCTGGGTTAACATATTCAAGAGTTTTCTCTTAACCTCCTTTCTGAAACGGGCCCCTGAGGACTTATAAGCATGAACCAAACAAATAATGAGGTAATAAACAAAACAACAGCTGAACAGAATTAACTAATTAGAACACAGTAAAACTAGGTCAAACCAACAACACAATGGAAAAACAAAACATACATGTTAGACCGGCTTGATCATGCTAATTTATTTTAATTAACTAATTAATTTTGATAGACATATGGAGTTCTAGAAGAATGACTTATGGAGTGATGTGACCAAACTGGAACTTTTTGGACCTATGGATCTGGTGCAAAAAAGGCAAAGATTATAAGCAGAAGAACATCACCTCTCTGGTGAAATGTGGAGGTGGACCAGTCCTGTTATGGGGGTGTTTTACTGTTGCAAGAAGTGGAAATCATGACTGTATGAAGGACATAATGGGTTCTTTGAAGTATCAGGCCATTTTGACAAAGACTTGATGCCTTCAATGCAGAGACTAAAGCTTGATGATCAATGGACTTTCCTGCTGGACAGCCATCCCAAAGTATACATTCAAATATACTTATGCTTGGTAGAGGGATTGGTCATAGAATTTTCTTGAGTGGTCTGTTCAGTCTCCAGATTTAATTCTCAATTAAAATATTTGGTTGATTTTGAAGAAAGCAATGTAAAAACCAAAGATTATCAGTGATCTGGAAGCTTTTTTGGGCGAGGAATGGGCCAACATTGCAGTAGAGAGGTGACAGAAGCTTCTAAGCACTTACAGGCAGTGTTTATTGGTGGTTTTAAAGAATAAAGATTCTCCATCAAATTTGACTTTTGGGGGTTGAATAATTTTGAACATGAATGTTTAGAGCCAATTAGATTTTTTTCATCATCAACTTTCCGTTCTCAGAATCACTCAAATGTGTATTAATAAACTTTCTCTAACAGTCTACTGATGCCTTTGAATTGGTTTCATAAACTTTTGTTCTCTGAAGCAAACTGTCTTGCAGGTCAAAGTGGTTGAATAATTTTAATTGCAACTGTAGGTCCCTCTGTGTCTGATTACCCTGCACAAAAAAAAACAAAAAACAAAACAAAAAAAAACATAAATGGCTGAGAATTGACAGCGAAGTCTGATAATGTCCTAATATTAGTACAAAAGTTTATTTTTATCCAAGTGTTTTGGGGGTAAATGATAGGGTTTGGTGAAAAACAAATCGAAATTTAGTTTAATTATTTCATGAATATCCTGACCTTGGTCGTTGGTCTGTGTGCATGACTGCATGTTCATGAAACTCTAGCGCAGCAGTTCTGAATGATTAGGCTCATAGGTATGTTAAAACTCCATGTTAATTTCCGACCCTGCTTTAAGAGAAATATTACCAATCAATAAAACACTGTGGTATCTTTAACAACTCTGTATATTTTTTTTTCATCGTTCATCATTACAAATAAAGTACTAAGATTTTAAAGGAAAAGACGCAAGTGTAAAATTTAAAGTTTGACCATGAGATAACATTAAAATGTCAATAATTTTAATCTATTGACAGCCTTAAGCTGCATTAAAAAAGAAGCTGTTTTAGACATTATTCTCTCTATAGAAACATCTTGAAGTCTAATTAACTATTTTGCGGTTTATACGATTTATAACTATTCCTTTCTGTCATATCCAATGGTGGTCTTATTAGCTGTATATCTCAGTTCATTGTCGTTGTGTTTTCTGACTTGTTATTTTGTTTTCGGATTTGTCGTTGTGTTTTCTGGCTTATTTTGTTTTCGGATTTGTCATTGTATTTTCTGACTTGTTATAATTTTTTCAAAATTGTTGTTGTGTTTTCTGAATTGTTATTTAGTTTTTTAGATTTGCATTTGCATTTGTAATTTGTTATTTTGTTTTCAGAATTGTGATTTGTTTTGCACTTTTCGTCCACCGTATGGTCTCGATATTCTGGCTTTCCAAATTTTGCATACTGCAAATCTCCATTTATGAAAATGGGGTGTCTATTTACAGTAAGTGCAAATAGCCAGCCTTGTTGGCAGAGGCTATTTCCACTAACTCTACCCACCAATGTGTGATTTGGCTTGTCAACACTAGACATTAGTCTAACAGCATCTCCAGTGGCATAGACGGTAAAGAGCGTGCTGCAGTTTTTTTTTATGCGATCGAGTTCGAATCCACCTTTTGCCATTTTTTTTTCTTCCTTTTCAAATCTCATATCACGTCAGAAAGGCATTTATTTTCAATAAAAATGAGGGAAATAATCGAAAAGTGTAGGGAGGGCTTATATTGTCCCAATAAGGTGGCATAATAATTTGAATTAGGCTAAAATAATAATTTACACTCAATACGTTATTATTGCATACTGTTAAAGTTCTGAAGTGCAGGTAATTGCCAATATTTGCAATAAGTAGTATGAATAGCAGAAAATCCTGCTAATTTAATATAGTGTAAATAGAATCTATAGCTATTTGCATTTAGGCCTAGTGTAAATAACATATCGCTAAGAAAATCCTGCTATTTTCACTTAGTGTAAATAGCATCTATCGCTAAGAAAATATGCTATTATCATATAGTGTAAATATCATCAGCATGTAATTATAAATGATCTGTTGGGTATTTTGGAGCTGAAACTTTACAAACACATTTAAAGGACACCTGAGACATTTATTACATCTCGTAAAAAGGGGCATAATAGATGCTCTTTAATCAGCCAAGCCAACATGATTATTGGCCAATGTAATAATAAACATTGCAGTATGTCACAATAAACATTGTCAGTTGCAAGGCATAATTACATTACATGTTTACATTACATTGGATTACATTGTGTACAAATTTTAAAATTTGGCATTCCAAATGACATTCCCATCACAAAAGAGATGCCAAAATCATGGACTATATTGTTTCCAGGTTATTGTTTATTTTAATTTAAATTTCTAGAAAATTTGCATGCTCTGCAAAGTAAACAAAAAAAAAATACTGAAATGTATTATGATAGTATGTCATTCTGAAGGCCCCTCAGCTTTTCTACAGGTCAGGCATTAACTACGAAGATAAGAATATGACAAAATTTATACTTTTAGGAGATATTCTCTGTTCCAGGTACTACCTGTGTTTGCAGCTGCGAAATGACATCCTCTCTGGCCGTCTGCCCTGTTCCTTTGTCACACATGCTTTGCTGGGTTCCTACACCGTGCAGGCAGAACTGGGAGACTTTGACCAAGATGACCATGGCTCCGACTACGTTAGTGACTTCCACTTTGCCCCCAACCAAACTCATGAACTGGAGGCAAGGGTGATGGAACTACATAGAACTTACAGGTCTGAGAGAGATATTAGAGACTGTATTTATTTCAGAGAGATTTTATAGTACTTGTCTAATGCAAAAGAGATTATATTACAGATTATATTAATAATACAACCAGTATATGTAATGTTCCCTTCCTATGGCCTGAGGTGCTGGGATGGGCTCCAGCATGCCTGTAAACCATACATAGGAAAGGCAGTTGGACAATGGATAGGATGTATAATATTACCAAATGTTAACAAATATTCTGTACTGTTTCAGAATAGTTCTAATTGATTTCTTAAAATTTTATTATAAAACTTTTAATAAATATATCAGTTCTTGTAAATTCTGTATGGAGCTGCAGCTATGCAGCTATGTTTGAAGCTGTTGTAAATCCTGGGAAATGCACACATGTGACTGTCAGGGGCACCTTTGGATAACCAGAATGGTTATTTTCTTCCTTTTTCTCAGGGGAATGACACCTGCTGAGGCGGAAATTAATTTCTTGGAAAGTGCAAAGAAACTCTCCATGTATGGTGTTGACCTGCATCATGCTAAGGTACATAAAAATGACGTGGTACAATCTGTAACTACAACTGTTATAGACACTACAACAGCAAGTAGCTTGTAATTAGTGCCATTAGTGAATATAGAAATCATATACTCAACATTTAAATGTTTTCTAAAAAATATTTACTAACATAGTTAGTATTAGGCAAACTTCTTGCAGTAGAAGTTATGTAATTTAGCTGACTGTGCCTTTAATAATCACCCATTCTTTCTGAGGCAGGATTCAGAAGAGATTGACATAATGCTGGGTGTGTGTGCCAATGGTCTATTGATTTACCGTGACAGGCTGAGAATCAATCGTTTTGCCTGGCCAAAGATCCTCAAGATCTCCTACAAAAGGAGTAATTTCTACATCAAAATCCGCCCTGGAGAGGTAATCAGATCTTTCAGAAAATCTTAAACCATGATAATTTCACAAAAGTATCCGTCTCTTGAAAAAACATAGAAGCAAACTGTGGCATATTGCTGAAAGCATTAAATAGTCTAAGTAAGATGTAGTCTTGGCTTAAAATATGCACACAATTTTCATACACACACACAATATGAATAGAGATTTTAAGCTGAAAGCATTGATTTTCTTTAACTGCACTTTGTTAGTAGATCACCCGCAGAACTTTCCACTGCCATCTGCACTTTTATGAGATTGTGGTCCAAGGCTGATTTGCCAGGTTTAGTAAACCTGGCCAATAGTTGCTTGCACACTCTCAATTTGGTAATAGAATTAACTATTGGTGACCCTGGGATTTTTATTACTGATACTGACAATTTTTTATTAAATCACTTGACTGTGTCAGTAGAACAATTGCTTGAATCTTAATGAGAAAGGGGAAATTAACTGATTTCCAGAAGTCCTGGACCCTATTGATTCTAGCAGTCTAATTGGTGGTTTTACTCTTACTCCCAGCCTAACCATTTTGCTATTGAACCCAGCCCATGCAGGTCCCTGATGCAGCTGGCTCAGTTATTATCTCTTAAGTTGAAGTGTACAGAGTGTATCAATGTTTAAATGTAATTAGTGGCACGCTCAGAAGCAGAACTGTTGCATTACCAAATGCATTCCTGGATAAGGGCTTAATTTAGGAGTAGTTGGTAATGACTAAATTATGGCCAAATTAAAATTATTTTTAGTTCCTTTGCAACTGTATTTATCAAGCACCTTTTTCTCGTCAGAGAGAAAACAAGGACTCAAGTGTAGAGCTATTTAATGAACCTTATTGTGCTTATACAAAACACAATAAAAAAGTAATATATTTAAAATACATATATTTCACACTAAATATAGTTCAGATCTATTAATATATTTACTGACATATCGCTCAAGACCAGTGTTGGGTAAGTTACTTTCAAAAAGTAATTAATTATTAATTACATCATCAATATTATATTTAAATTACTTTTCTAATTACTCTGTCTGAAAAGTAATTTAATTACTTAATAAGTTACTTAATTACTCGAATCGGTAATTACATATTAAAATACCTATAAACCTTGATGCATAGACAGTAGAAATTAAAATCTTTATTCTTTCAATTTGAGTCAAACAGAATAGTTCAGCCTTTTAGCTTTAAAACAACAGTAATACTTAAACATTTTTATTTAAACATAATTTTACCTTCTTTGGTTAACGTAGAATTACTCTGCAAAAACAAACAAACAAAAAAAAAAAGATTTTGTACTGTCATTCATGCATATATGCTTTGTATTACCACACAGTACATAAACATTCTGATATTTTATAAACTAATCTTATATTGCTTAGCACATTATAAAATTGACATCTGATATTAGTAAACACTGATCTAAACATTCCTGTAACATTCATCACATTTGTATTATATGATAGCAAAAAAAAAATTAGCCTATATGTAATACAAAAAGTTTCCTATTTATCTGAATGTATATTATGTTTCGCTCGCTTTCACACATTTCAGTTTAGCAAGATTTTTAAAGCCAAATTAATTTAATGCGTACAAGTTTACGCATTAAATTAAATCAGACGAACTACGACTCCTCACCCGCACAGACAAGGACTTTTTAAACTCCGCTGCGCTCTGCTTCACGGAAACCTGGCTGAACGGAGCCATCCCGGACAACGCGTTACATCTAACGGGCTTCCAGCTGTTCAGAGCGGACCGCGTCACGGAGTCATCGGGGAAAACGAGAGGCGGTGGATTATGTTTTTATATCAATGAAGGCTGGTGTACAGACGTGACAGTTTTAAAGAAGATGTGCTGCCCAAATTTGGAAGCTCTTTTCATTAACTGTAAGCCTTTTTATTCACCGCGGGAGTTTTCCTCGTTTATTCTGGTGAGTGTGTATATTCCTCCTGACGCGCGTGTGAGCGCCGCGCTAGAACTGTTGGCCGATCAAATTACACACACAGAGCAGCGTTATCCGGACTCTTTCATTATCGTTCTCGGTGATTTTAATAAAGCTAATCTCACCCGTGAACTGCCTAAATATAGACAGCACATCACATGCCCCACCAGAGACAGCAATATACTGGACCACTGCTACACTGTTTTAAAGGATGCATACCACACTGTCCACTGAGCTGCGCTTGGACTCTCTGATCACTGTTTGGTTCATCTTCTAATGATGCACAAATCTGTACATAAATCTACTGTTCCGGATTCATACACATTTATTGTTAAGTTTTACTATTTAAATGTTTTTTTGTTTTGTTTTTTCTGTTCTCATGTCAGATGTGTATGTATGTATGTATGTATGTATGCATGTATGTATGTGTGTACCAGGAGCACCTTAAAAAACCACAACAAATTCCTCGTGTGTTTGCACACCTGGCGAATAAAGCTAATTCTGATTCTGATTCTGATTATGTGAAAATAACACATTAACTAATATAAGTAAGAATACATTACAGAAATGATATCCTCCGCTGAATAAAGCCACGTCAGATCACGCTGTTCTTCTGAGGTAAATTCCGGCTTATTCCTCATAGCGAGTCTTCTTCCAAAAATGATGAAAAGTAGATTAATCTTGATTTTTTTTTTTGTTATATGTTTTTTGTATCTAGGTGATGAGAGCTTATGTGCGCAGGTATGGCTGCAGATAATAAGCTCAGACGGGAAAGACTGTACGTCGCATTGATTTCATACGGCTTACATAATCAGAGAATATTCGTTTTCGATTTTAATTTGTTCATTTAAAAGTAGACACTTCAAGTTTTCTGTAGACATATTTCTCACGTCTGTGTGTCAAGTATTTGCTAGTTTCATTTTCAGACATGTTTCAGAAAGAAGTTCACGGAGACCGAGATGGCAGAAAGTGTGTTTTCTTTATTTTACAATGTTTTGTTGTTATTGTCAGTGTACACAAATAAAAGTAGACCCTTTACAGATTCGACTGATTTTAGTCTTATCTGTATGCTGAGTATTATAGGTTATTTTCTCTGTTATCAGGAATAACTGCAAATGAATGCGCCAGTGCGCAGATGGTTAAAGAGGCTGCATTCGACAATAAATTTCAATATTGATTTTAGAACTGTTGAAATTATTTACAGTATTTAACTCTTACTTTATAAGGAACTGTAATTACATTACTTTTAAATGAACAGTAATCCCTTACTTTACTTTTACAGTGGATAAGTAATTTAATTACAGTAACACTGCTCAAGACTTACTGATATAAAAATTACAATTAAACTTTATTTGGAGTACAATTAGTTTACTTGTATATGATGCAAATTTCTTATTAAGTCTAAAATATGTTTAAATGTCACTATTGATGAGGATTGTATGATTTTTGAGTAATATTGATCTTTAAATGCAAGATATTTAGGGTGCTTTCACACTGGCACTTTTGATGCGGGTTACACTGGTTCGATTGACATCAGAGTTCGGTTCATTTGGATGATGTGAACGCTGTCTTCCGAACTCGGATACGCACCCGCGAACCGTACCAGAGTCTGCTTAAAAAAGGTGGTCTGGGGTACAGTTCATGTGAACTCCGGTATGGTTCGCTTCTGGTGTGAATGCAATCATACCAAATCACAAAAGTGAACCTCTATTATTAATGACATATTATTTGATAAAAATCAAGCATCGCGTTTCAGGCAGGCCACGTCAGACAAGCTCGTATCAGCTGATCGTCAGCTGTTCCTGATGTGTACCAATCCAGTGACACTTATCACAGCGGTCCATTTAATTCCATTCTTTCAGCATCTCTCCTAACGCATCGCTGCTCGCAAATCAAACAGTTGCAGCATGCTTCAGAAACATCTGAAATCCACATCTAAGATAAGTGAATGCTCTTTTAATCCATATTGCTGTGTATTTTACGTGGTCTGCCTAACTGAATTTAAAAAATAGCAACCATAACAAGTTAAACTAAGTGATGTTAGCAGTTTTGCACCTTATGCAGGAGCGAAATATTAAGCATATTTGCAGCAGCATTTATACATCTGTGTTTATACAGCTGGAGCAACACGCAGTCAAGTCAAGTCAAGTCAAGTCAAGTCTGCTTTATTGTCAATTCTTCCACATGTACAGCACATACACACAGAGAACTGAAATTGCGTTACTCTCAGACCCTTGGTGCATACAGATGACACTAACAGTAGAACATAAATACAGATAGATACAGATTAAATATAAAATACAACTATACAAATATACAAATAAGGTAAAATGTAAAAAAATATATAAAACAGCACAAGGCACATGGCAGATGCAAACCTGTGAAGTAAACAACAGTGCAGATATAATGATTTGTAGTGCAAAAGAGCTTATTCAGACTGATTAAAGTGACAGTGTGTGTGTGTGTATTTGGGAGGGAGGAGTGGGAGAGTCCGTCAGAGGGTCAGAGTTCAGTGGTGCGTGGGGCAAAAGACGGGAGGGGGGGCAAGGTCGGGAGGGAGTTCAGCTTCCTGACAGCCTGATGGATGAAGCTGTCCTTCAATCTGCTGGTCCTGGCCTGGAGACTCCGCAGTCTCCTCCCTGTCTAGTCTAGAGTATGTAGAACATGTAAATCGCTCTGAGAACACACTGATAGTAACAGATATGAGAACAGGTTCAACTTTGGTTTATTTCTAAAATTATGTTTTCATTAGCTGTGATGAGTGTGCGGTTGATTCAGCTGCACACAGCGTCTGAAGCATGCGCTTCATTGCTCCTAATGGCTTGTATACAAATAGAGAATAATGTTATATCAGTGACAGTCGAAGTTATTTCCGCAGGGTGTATGCTTCCCCTGCAGGTGTTGTGCCGAATTTCGACTGCCTGCCAGAATTCGACTGCACTCCTCATGCACGAATGAATTTAATATGTTTCTGTTGCCTTTTCATTTTCATTTAATTTTATTTATTTTATTATTGCCTCCTTATGTGGATAAACATTGTTTATTAAATGTATT